GCCTGAAGACAAGAAAGAGAATCCGAAAAAATGATGAACTGTTTACATGAAGACTGTCGTTGAATATATACCAAGGCTGTAAGGATAGCATTGGCCTCAGCAGTGAAAATAGAGCTATTGTCTGGTATTCTAGACGATATAATCTTGGATCCAACGACAGTGGCACTTGCTACTTTGCCACCGTCCTTGGATCCATCAGTAAAAAATGAACGGTGAGTGTCATATTTGCTTCTCAGTTGTAAATATTCCTGTTGATATACTAGTTGATTTGTGTCAGATTTTAGAAAGCGTGTCAGTGAAATGTCTACTTCTGGCCTCACTAACTGCCAGGGAGGAGCAGACAAAAGCCGGGAAGGAGAGATAAGATCCAGATCTAGATTTGCATTAGTTATATGGGATTTGAGCCGGATTCCAAGTGGAGGGATCAGTTTCGGTTTCTTCAGAAATAGATTTTCATACAGGGGATAGAAAACGGAGTCATAAGCAGGATTAGAGGGGTTCGAACGTAATTTAGTAACATATTGAAGAGACAATTTAATACGGCGGTGTTTTAAGGAAGGTTCATCAGCCTCAACATAGAGGCTGTCAACCGGAGAAGTTTGAAAAGCACCAAAACAAAGTCCTAATCCTTGATGGTGGATTGAATCCAGTTTTTTTAAATTACTCTTACAAGCTCCAGCATGCACAATGGAGCCATAGTCCAGCTTAGAGCGAATAAGAGATCTGTATAAGTGAAGAAGGGTTTTCTGATCCCCTCCCCACTTTGAGTTTGAGACGACTTAGCAAATCTAAGGCCTTCAGGCATTTTGTCTTTAGATATTTAATATGTGGCAAAAAAGTTAGTGAGTGAGTGAGTTAATATTTAACGTCACATCGGCAGTATTTCAGCCATATCGTGACGAGAACTGATATAAAATACAAATATTTGAATGGATTAAATATCTGTCATCGAAGGACAGTAAAAATAACTAGAGTATCACAGTTTTGATTTTAAAACTAGTTGAGAACATTAAAAAGAATACATTTTCAATCAACAATACAATATAAAAATGGGCTATAGATCACCAGCAACCAAAGTTAGGCCACCTTACTGGTGACCGTGGGGACTTACAATACTTTTGCTACCTGCACGACTCCCCAGCAGGATTTACACCATCCCTTCAGCCGCTGGTGATTATATGCAATTTAGCCAACACTTAAAATAAACAAATATTCTACGTCTAAAACTGTGGCAAGAATAAATGTACTTTGAATGCTGTGGTCTTACATATCCTCTCAGGGGGACAATAATTTTATGTTACTTCAACCCCCTTCAAGGATACAGCCACTAACAATCTCAGTCATCAAATTTATTTTACCAAGTATAAAAACTATATTATATACAAAACATATCAATCAAAATTTATGTAACAATTCAATATCTTTTAAAAAGGCAATAATTAAACGAGCATTGATACTAAAAAGATCCTTTAAGGATGAAACTTTGAAATATTTATCCCTTGTGATGGAAAAATCAACACAATCAAGCAGGACATGCTTGACGGTGATTCTCTCATCACAAGGGATACAAAATGGAGGATCCTCACCTTTTAAAATATATTCATTTGTATATCTTGAATGGCCAATACGACATCGTCGCATGATGACCTCTTCAATCTGGACTGACAGCCCAAGTAGGTGTAACCGATAGATGGTTTAATTTCATGTAATTTATTTATACCAACTTGGGTGTCCCACTTCTTCTGCATTAGATCTCTGATATAACATCTTATAACAGGTTTATAATCACTGTAGGGTAGAAGCAGTGGTGTCACAGATTTGTTGAGTGCTGCTTTTGCAGCAGCATCAGCCATTGTGTTACCAACGATTCCGACATGGCTGGGTAACCAACAGAAAGCGATGTCGTATTGGCCAGTAGCTAGATCATTGTATAATTAGACAATTTCGAGTAAAAGTGGATGTGTACTGGACATATTGTGAATAGCCTGAAGACATGAAAGAGAGTCTGAAAATATTATGAACTTCGTTTGCTTAGATTGATTTTGAATGTATTTAAGAGCTGTTAAGATGTGATTCTGCCGTGAAAATTGAACTGTCATGTGGCAACCTGAACGAGATTGTTCTGGATCCAATGATAGTAGCGCTAGCAACCGCGTCACCATCCTTGGATCCATCGGTAAACATAGATTTGTATGTATCATAGTTAGTTCTCAGTTGACGGTATTCTTGTTGATAAATTAGTGGATTAGTTTGTGATTTCTTTAGTTTTGTTAGTGTCATGTCTACCACTGGCTTTATCAGTTGCCAAGGAGGTGAAGACAAAAGGTGGTAAGGAGAAATATTTTCAAGGTGTAAATTCGCATCAGAAATTGCAGTTTTCAATCTTATTCCAAGAGGGGGAATAAGAGAAGATTTCTTTTGGTAGAGGTCCTCATATAGGGGATGAAAAACGCAATCATATGCAGGGTTTGACTGATTTGAAGATAATTTGGTAATATACTGTAAAGATAATTTTAGACGTCTGAGTTTTAGTGATGGTTCATCAGCCTCTACATATAAACTGTTAATTGGAGAAGTTCTGAAGGATCCAAGGCAGAGCCGTAGTCCTTGGTGATGTATAGAATCCAGAATTTTAAGATTGCTTTTGCATGCACCCCCATAAACGATGGAGCCATAATCCAGTTTTGAACGAATGAGAGATCTATATAGTTGGAGGAGGGTCTTCTGATCACCTCGCAAAAAAGTTAGACGATGGTCGAAAAATAAATCCTAAAAATTTGGCTTCTTTTACAATCTTGATTGGAGTGCCATCTGAAAAGAGTTCAGGATCTTTATGAGGTTTATATTTCCGACAGAAATGGATACAATTGGTCTTGGTCTGTGAGAACTTAAAGCCATTCTCAAGACACCATTTATGAATTTTATTAAGACACAACTGTAATTGGCGTTCAATAGTACGCATATTTTTACCACGACATGAGATATTAAAATCATCTACAAACAAAGACCCATCAATTGAGTCATTTAATACTTTAGATAAACTATTTATTTTTATGCTAAACAATGTAACAGACAAAATACTGCCTTGTGGAACCCTCTGATCCTGATTATAATGATCAGACAGGGTTGATCCAACACGAACTTGAAATTGTCTGTCCGTTAAAAACTGCGATATAAAATGAGGCAAACGGCCTCTGAAACCGAAGTCGTGTAAATCTTTTAAAATACCATGTTTCCATGTTGTATCATAAGCTTTTTCAAGATAAAAAAAGATTGATACAGCATGCTGGCTATTTACAATGGAATTTTTAATGAATGATTCTAAACGAACCAGATGGTCAATAGTACTTCGATTTTTGCGGAAACCACATTGAATATTGTTAATAAGATTATTGGTTTCTAAAAAACATACTAAACGGTTATTGACCATGTGTTCCATGGTTTTACAAACGCAGCTAGTTAACGAAATAGGTCGATAGTTAGATGGATCAGTATGATCCCGACCAGGTTTCGGTATAGGAATAACAATGGCATTGTGCCAGGAAGGAGGAAAGTGTCCAGTTGTCCAAATATGATCAAAAATATTTAGCAGTGTTTCTAGACATGGATTGGGTAAATGTTTAAGGAGCTGATAGTGGATATTATCAGCTCCTGTTGCGGTATCATGAGCTTGCGTCAGGGCAGTATTGAGCTCATGTAGTGAAAATACTTCACTGTAGTCTTCACCATTATCCGAATTAAAGTTAATAGTTTTCTTTTCTTGTTGATTTTTATATTTCTGAAATTTGGGATTATAATTGGCTGATGAAGAGTGTTTGGCTAAAGTTTCACCCAACTTATTTGCGATGTCCACTTTGTCAGTAAGTAGACCATGGCCATCTTTAAGATGATGAACGCCAGAATTTGAACCCTTCCCTTTGATTCTTTGTACCATGTTCAACACCTTTGTCATTGGTGTACGGGAATTAATCTTTGATACAAAGTTTTTCCAAGACTGTCGCCGATTTTGTTTGAACGTACGTCGAGCCTTGGCACCATTTATCTTTACATTATTGAAATTGTGAACTGTAGGGTGACGGCGAAAGTTTTTTTTCAGCCTTCCCACCTATTCTTCCTAGCCTGTTTGCAATCATCTGTAAACCATGGTTTACGAATGTGTGGTTTAACAGAGGACTTAGGAATAGTTACATCAGCAATATTATTCAGTGTGTCCGTGAATAACTGAAGAGGATCAGGGACGTTAATGAAAATGTCAGATGTCAATTTGTCAGTACAAAGTGTCTGAAATAATGGCCAGTTGGCCCTTTTAAAATTCCACCTTGACACAGGTGGCTCATTATTCGGTTTAATAGCAGAAAGTATCGTGGGGAAATGGTCGCTTCCACATAGATCATTGTGGACTGACCACTCAAATTCGTAATATACATTTGGATCTGTGAGTGACAAATCAAGAGCAGAATAAGTTCCAGTAGCGGGATGTAGATATGTGTCTGATCCATCATTATATATGCATAAATTATTATTTGAAATGAAGTCTTCCAGGATTTTCCCTTTGTTGTTGGTATCTGTGCCACCCCACAGAGGGTTATGCCCATTCAGGTCACCCATAATGACACAGGGTCTTGGGAGCTGATCAAACAATTCCTGAAGATCAGACTGCTGAAGAGGAGACGATGGTGAAATGTATAAAGAGCAAAGTGTGAAAGTTATATGTAAAGACAGACGGACAGCAACAGCTTGAAGGTTGCATTTAAGAGGGACGGGGCTATGGATGACATCCTGCCTCACCAAAATGGAAGCGCCACCTGTCGCCTTGTCACCTGGAGGTGAAAACGAATGATACGAATTGTACTGACGAAAATCAAATTTATCTGTATTTTTCAGGTAGGTTTCTTGTAAGCTAAAAGCTGATGGTTTAAAATCTTGTGATAATAACTGTAGATCATTGAAATTGTTCCTAAGTCCTCTGCAATTCCATTGTATTAAATTTGTGGCTCCACTCATGGAGGTTCAACTGGGAGACGTGAACGAGTAGAAGGAACATTCCCATGTACTGGGAGAGAAGGAGTGACCTCCATGTCCAATGGTTCATAAGAATTATGAACCGCTACAGGGCACGCGTCAGTGGAAGGCTCCTCCAAGTGCTGGAGTGCTCTGGCCTTTCTCCTCATTTGTTTTTTGGTCTGTTTTTTAGATAGATGGGCTTCGCCCTGAACTGATTCGATTTCCGTTATTATTTCTGGTTCAGTTGGTTGAATATGCGAAGTTTGCAAGTTTTCCGTTTGAGATGAAGACGTCATTGTTGATGGCTTATCCGGAGACAATTTAGGTGCGTCATCAATGATGATCTGGTCATTGTGGACCCAAGAAATTTCAGTTTGACAATGATTGGATCTCATTGTGATTTTGTGACCTTGAGAAGAGACTGCAGCTGAATATAATCTATTTGAAGTGGTCTGAGAGGGAACAAGGAGTTTTTTAGCATCAGAGTAGGAAATGTTATTTGTATGTTTGATTTTTAGTATTTTCGATTCGTGATCGAAAATCGGGCATGATTTGGAGGACGACAAGTGCTTACCGCTGCAGTTAGCACATTTGATCTCATTTGTGCACTCTGTGCCCTCATGAGGACCACTGCAACGGGAGCATCTTGTCTTGGCCGTGCAAGATTTGGCCCCGTGACCGAAGTGTTGACACTTGAAACACCGGAGTGGATTTGGAACATAAACCTCCACTCTGAAGTATCCAGCTTTTATTGATGATGGAACAGTAGAAGTTGAAAATGTGAAAAGATATGTCTGAGTTTTTAATATATTTCCATCTTCTGTTTTGCGTGTGAATCGCTGGACAACGGTGACACCCTGATGCTTAAGTTCTGCTGCAATCTCCTCTTCTGTCATTTCTGAAAGACATCGTGCTCGATCTCGCACGATACCACGGCTAGAATTCAATGTCCTGTGCACTGAGACAGCAACCTGCGTGTTAACAAACTGCTGGAGACCTAGCAAGTTGATAGATTGCTGTCTCCGTGCACATTCCACAAGTATGGAACCAGAACGAAGACGTGTAACGTTCTTCACTTCACCACAAGTACGTTGGATGCCCTTTGATATGGCAAACGGATTAAGTTTTAAAGGAGTTTCATCGACCGATGCGATAACAATGAATCGTGGCCAAGAATCTGCAACAATAGGCGAAACCTCATCGTCAGACGAAACAGAATCGACATGACGACGTTTGTTTGCTTTGAAAGAACCAGGGGATTTGTTGTGAGACATGGTGTGAGTATGTAATTCGACATCTCTGCTCCCCACCCGCCATCGAGTGTCAACAAGGACGATGCTGCAGAGGAAACCAATCTACAACAGCAGGGTTACAAAGGTGTTATACTCAAGCAATATAAACATAGGTAGCTATTTTTGACAAACAGAATTTAAAGTCAGGCTGGTTCGGCCCTTGACAGTAATCTGAAGTCACATAGAACCTAGAGGTTGATATATAGCCAGATTGGCCAATGAGCCACCGCCTTCTGGCGTAAGACTCTAGGCAATTTTTCAATCCAAAATTGATAATTCACACAAGTTATGGACGGCCAAGACCAAAATATACATCAAAATACAACACAGGTGTGCATATACAATATTACGCACAGGGCCTGGCATGACCAGCCGATTGATAAGACCGGGCCCATCTTACCACCCGTCTAGGCGAAGTAAGGGTCGAAGAAGTGTGTTGGGCAAAGGAACACAGTTCCAGGAACCAGTGACCTCAACTACCAGACTCCCGTCCTCCGCCGACACAGGGACGCAACCCACGGCAAACAGGTTGCCCATTTTAGTCGCCTCATACGACCAGCAATGGGAGTCTGTGGAAATATTCTGCCCCGGTTCCACACGGGGGAAGAGCTATTAGCGTAACCCAGCACTCACCACGAGGAGGTTGCTCTTCACGAGTGCCCCTCCTATCAAGATCTCACGACAGTGAAAGATCAACTGTGTCTTAAAACTGCTATGACACGGCTTTATATAATACAGTCAGAGAGAAAATGCATGCTTTTCACATGTCAAACTGTTATGTTTGGGCGACCCGATCTAGTATTAAGGATGACATCTACCCCTACCAAAATGTATCCCAAATGTAAACATGATAACAGAGCACATGATGTTATAGTTATATAGCTGATATACTATGTTCGTTATGCTTAAACCAGTCACAGCAGCAGTTTAGTTATCAATATTTATCAGCACGTAATCTAATTCCGGCTTCAAAAGTATCAAGGAAAACACTAACTCTACCAGAGTATTTTTCAGCTAGGTCATAATAACAGTCAAGGGCTTTGCAAATAATCATATTGAAACTTTCTTGATATATACCATTTTTTATTGATAGATTATGCAAATAGGTGTTTCTGTCTTGTTTCAGAAAACAACATAACATGTACAGTGGTGCCACCTTTCGATACAAATGATGATTTGGCAAAATCAATCGGTAACATGTTATACGAGCATTTTAAGAAGAAAGATGTCTTTGTAAAGCAACAATTGGCAGCTGATGTTCCCAAATTCCTGGTGTTTCGACCAAGTGGTAGAGTGGGAGATGAATTTGAGGAACATGTGGCACCGCATCTGATGAAACAACCTGGTAATCTATACTTTATATGTGACATTTTATCCTCATGTAAGCGAATTGTCCTCACCTACAAGTATTTATGTACACTGTAGTTTTCGTACAGGTCTCTTATATCCATTTATTTCCAACTTTCCTTTGCTCCATTATGCTCACTTAAGGAGCTCAATAAATACTGACTATACCGGCACAGAAAATAAGTCCCTCAAATGCTCTTATTTGTACAAGAACAATATGTAACAAATCCTTTAATCCTGCTCTACTGGTTGCACCTGCCACTCACTCATAATTTAGTTGTGGTCCGCTTTTTAACAGTTCACTGATACTGAGCTCCATCGAATCGAACAACTGACCTTCTAGAGTATTTAGTTCTAACATATATGTGAACCGTTTGCAAGTTGGTGTCACCAAAGTCAAAATGTATTCAAGGCTGGTATGTATCAAAGTTGGTGCAAAATTGGAAGAACACATACACTACTGCCTAAAAGTTCATTCCCCTAACACGCGTTGAGAACGCGTGTAACACGCATGTGACACGGGTGCTCAACGGGTTGCAGACGGGGTGAGCATCCGTTGCACACGGGTGTGCAATGGGTGTGCATCGCGTGTGCAACGGGTGTGCATCGCGTGTAACACGGGACCGGGTTCCAGTTGAAGTTGACAAAATTATCAAATGAATAGTGAGATAAAACAAAACAGTGAGATGTGAAATTTGAGTAAATGAGCGGCCATTGAGCTGTGTTCACCAGACCGTAAATACAAGGTCGGCCCGTCTTAATTAGTGTTCGGTTGTTAGACTTTTATGGCATGAACCATTCCACTAGGGTCCCGTCTAGCCATTGTGGCTAGCCGACAGTAGAACAGTAGTGAATTTAGATGCAAGTTTATTGCGAGGGGAACCCCCGTGTTGGCACGATTGTCGCGGGTTGGTAAATGTTCGCCATTAATAAAATGATTGTTTGTGGATTTGCGAACATATTCATTTGCCCACACGAGTCATTCCATTCGATTGCAAATATAACGTTTTTCGTTACCAAATTTATACTTTAGACAGTACAATTATGATATAGCCGTCACCACTACTAATGTCTCATTATTTCACGTAGGAATATGTCCCATTTCCCCACACCCCACTTTCTGTTTTGTATTCTGAAAGAATAAATAAAAGAAGGTTTTGTGTGGGACACTTTTATACTAATTATAAGAGGATGTTGTAAATGAATATGAACAGCCATGCTGTCTGACTGTTGATAGAATTTGAGATCTTCACAATCACCGGGTGTGACCATGTAGACAGAATCTCGTTAGGGTTTGTGATTTTTACATTTGCCCAATGACCATAGTGAGTATTGCTGGGGATACCAAACGTAACAGTTTATTATTAGAGGTTGTGAGTACCTATACCACGTAGATAGGATATATTAAGAATTTTAATCCGTCTTTGGGAGGCATTTAGAAGTTGGAGTACTACGTTAGGATAAGATTTATGGGTGACTTTAATCCTTTCTTTCTCTGTGGGTAATCCTTTCACGTTGATTGGAGGAAGTCACTCAACCAGGTCATGACAGGTCGTAAGTTTACTCACTAACTACTGTGAGCGTTTTTGGCATAACATCTTTTCTTGTATAAACATAGAAACGATGCTCACTCACTGTTAATCTTCTGCAGTTTGCTGGCAAAGTGGGGATAAACCTCAGTGTCAAAGACGATTAAACTTAGTTCGAATCCTTGTTTATATGTGACATCTCCCAAATGGGGACATGTTCATAAACTTGGCAAGTGATGATGTATTTTAATATTAATATTATTATAGTTTATGAAATTGTTAATAAAACTTTAATAAAATTGTGCTTCACTCTCACGAAAAATATATTGTCTGTGAGTAAATTTATATGTCACGTTTCATCGGCATTTTTCAGTGATATTGGGACTACATGAAACATGGCTGGTTTTACATTTCTGATACAGGTGCTTGACTGACTGAGTAGTTCATGATCAATTAGATATGTTTAAATCAGTCAAGTTTGCAACAATAGATGAATAAGTTGATACATTTGGACCGCAGTTACCGATTAACAACTTAAGACATAGAGACAGGGAGGAGATATATAACCAAACCTATGGTCCTGTTGAGACAGTTGACAGTTAGAACGTTGGATTAAATGACAGTAACTAATTTGAACATTCCCCAGTAATATCATAAAATACATCATAACTCATAACAGTCCGAGAAACAGCTTCCAGCCATATACTAGTATTGAAGGGACAATCGCTTTTGACAGTTTAAAAATAAACTCACCTTAAGGTGCTTGGCAAGTCAAAAATGACCTCCCTGAATATGTTTTTTAAGGTTTGACAGCAACTATGCTTGTGGATTTCAGAGATAGACATGATTTGTTAGCTAGATGTTATTACAATAAGCGAAAATGTCTTAAAAGTCCACAGTTTGTTTAATAGTACAAAAAGTGTGTTATGGATCTATCAACGTTTTCTTTTATTGAACATAATATTTGCACTATATTGCTGTTAGCTGTAAATAATCTAGCCTCCCCATGTACGTAACTTACATATATTTATGTATGACCAGAACAGCAAATAAAGTTCTGGTAGATAGGTACATCGGAGATTTAACGTGCGCTTTCCGACTTTAGCCTATCTCGCACACGGGGAAGCACTTATACTATTAGGGTAAAAAAGCGTAATGATTAAATAAACCATACTGATGCAATTAAGCAAATGAATATTTGCTGTGGGCAAATATCTATTTTCTATATATATATTTGTGGATATGAAGCATTCTAGTTAATTGTGGATACACTGGGCAGACAGAATTGTGTTTATTTCCAGGCCATCCTGATCGTCGTTTACTACTATAAGGTGTATGTGTTATGGCAAGATCAAGGCGCCGCACAGCATTTATTAGATAACAGACGGGGTCGTCCGTTTCGCTTTAAACAACCACCCCACCCTGTCTGTAGGAGTTATATAATCGGTGCGCAAATAACTGTGACAAGTCCACTGCCGGACTGATGCGGTGTCAGTGTCAGCGATGAACATGAATGCTCAAATTATAGACCTGTAGCACTCACAAGTTGCTCAGCCAAAATATTTGAAAAGTGTATATTCAATTCTCTGATAACAGCAAATATAACATTAGAAATAGATTCAACATACAAACAATCAAATGTAGAACACAGACCTATGCTTAATAATAATTTCTTCTGGATATGATCAACCTGCGGAACCCTCTATCCGATGAAGTAACTAATGCTCGCTCATTAAAAGAAATCAAATCATTAATTAATCGTTCTGATGCAATTACTAATAATTTTGACTTCAAATATTTTCATAGATCAAGCCAAATTGTCCACTGTCGCCTTAGGCTCGGCTGCAGTGACTTAAACGCTGATAAGTTTAGACGACATGTATCAGACATACCAGACTGCACTTGTGGATATCACCTTGAAGATGCAATTCACTTTTTCTATAACTGTCAAAAAATACGATAACATCAGAAACACTGTGTATTTCTACACACATGGGTATGGTCTAAAAATGATATTACGTGGCAGTAGTTAAGCAGTTCTACAAACATGACTCTTCTTAAATCAGTTCACGACATCATTGTCAAAAGCAAAAGGTTTGAGTAGCT